TAGATGACCTTTCATACTTATGGGTAACAAAAATATTTATGCAAATTAAAATTATTTTTTTCTGTGACTATAGGGTTTTATCATGTTCTAGATTATTACATTTATTAGTTATATTATAATTATTGGTAGTATAAAATTGACCATAACAACATAACATCTATTATGAATTTTGATGTTTAATTATTTGACCTATAAGATTTTGGATAAATACATATACAAATGAGAGAAACTTTTCCACATGGCTTATGTATCCTTGCATCAATATTACTTATGGCTAGAATAAGATGGGGCTTGGCATCAGTTCTATGCCTATTTTTCATTTTACAAATGAAGTGCTGAGAAACATTGTCCCCATAAATTAGGTGATAAGAAGTTTTTTTCTTTGCCACATTTTGTTTTAAATGGCAATGCCTTAAACATCTCTGGAACTTTTCCCAGATTTATACCCCAAATCAGATAGCAGGCTCTTAGCAGACAAATCAACTGTTCTACTTTCAATTTTCTTGAAGGCGAAGAGCTGGAAGGCAAAAGGATTGGTTACCTGTCCTTAGAGCCAACATCAGTGATATTACTTTGAATTGCCCCCCCCCCCCGCTTTTTTTTGGTGTCCCAGAGGTTTCTGAAGTCCAGGGCAACACACCCTAGTCAGACTCAGGTGGGTGGGAGGTGTGCCAGAGGGGCAGCTGTGTTCCTAGGCAGATACATTTTAGAAAAGGGTACGCGTGGAAGTTGAAATTTTGGAGATGGATTGCTTCCAAACTGTCCAAGCTTGCACACCCTTGGAAAGTCTTTGTGGACCAGGGTGCATGTCACACAATTGAAGACCTTGACAACAAAAAGCCCTGCACATTTTCAGAATGCCTCTAGAAGGCAGTACTGTCCCCGGAAAATCACCACCCTACCTGATCTACTGCTTTCACTCCCATCTCATCCTTCCCTTTTCTACTTTACTTGAGTCACAAACGGGATCCTCGGTATGTTTCTAAGGCCCAAGCATGCTCCTGCCTCAGGATCTTCACACTGGCTTTTTCTGCCCAGAGATAATCCCCCTGGTATGGACAAAACTCTGCCTTCACTTAGTTGAGTCGCTGCCCAAATTTTGTCATACCTGCCCTTAGTCCACCTTCTATAAAACAGCATAACCCCACCTAACTTCTTCATTCCTCCAACAAATATTTATTGAGCTTCTACTATGTGCCAGGCATTGTTCTAGGCACTGGAAATACACCAGTTTGAACAAAACACAATATGTCCTCATATTGCTTAAAGTCTAGTGTGATGGGAATAAAAACATGAATAGATAACATAAAATTATATACTGTGTTAGAAAGTGATAAGTGGTATTGGAAAAAAGTTCAAGCTAAGGGGAATTGAGATTACCAGAAGTTTTGTGTGTGTGTGTGTGTGTGTGTGTGTGTGTTGTGGAATTTCAATTTAAATGAGATGGTCAGAACTTGAAGTCAACAGGTAGGCTTCATTGGAAAAATGACTGCCTCAGGTTACCATAACAACAGACCATAGACTAGGACGCTTAGACAATAGAAATGTGTTTTCTCACAGTTCTGGTTCTGGATGCTAAAGGTTCAAAGAGTCTACTTACTTCTAGAGATGGGATGTTCCTGAGTAGGTGCGAGGGAATAGGATTGAGTGAGGCAACAAGGGTGGGCTGGCTGTAGGTAGACAGGGGCATAGGAAGACTAGTAACAAGAAGGAAGGCAGGGTAGAGGCACGCCCGATTCCCCTTACTGTGCACTGCCATCTCCAGGGCACTGAACACCATCTAATTATACATTTATGTGTTTATTGTTTATTGTCTCTTCCCTTCACTGAAATGTGAGCTCCACAAAGTCAGTGACAGTAGTATTTATTGAGCTTCTACTATGTGCCAGGCATTGTTAACTGCTGTTTCCCAAAGGTTTGGAACAGGGCTTGGTGCATAAAAGCACTCAATACTTTAAAAAAATTCCTGGATGACTGGCCAATTGAGAAAGAGAGAAAATAAGGTTTAGAGTTCTCATCACATTGCATTCTTCACATTTTAAAAACCACATGTCAAAAGGAAGAGTTGTAACCATTCCCAGTGATACCAGCTAATACTGTTTGGGTTTATCTGTTTTCAGATTCAATCCTGGTGGCGTGGAATGATGGTACTGAAAGGAATTGGGAAATTTAGTGAACTGTTAAAAGTGCGAAAGAAAGGAAAGAATTCTCTAAAATCTAAGTCAGGAAAGAAGGGTGGAAAAGAAAAACCTGCAAAGGAAAAGAAGAAATAATTTTGTATATTAATGACTTGAGGTAATGAACCCTGATGGATTAAGAAGGCAAAAATATATAGGAATTAGATGCCCACCGCATTAAAATTATTCATTAAATTATGGTTATGTATTAAAGTAAATATTCTTACTTTTACTGAAATATTTATGAGAAAATGATATGAAGCCCAGGAATTGCTTCAGAATAATATCAGGTAAGTGTGGGGGATCCAAATGAAACAAGATTGGACATAAGCTGATAATTGCAGAAATATCTGATAGTTACATGGAGGTTTGTTATAGTATTCTGTAACAAGCTTTTAGTTTTGAAATAATTATATATTCACTAGAGGCCTGGTGCACGAAATTCGTGCACTGGGGGGGGGGGCGGAGTCCCTCAGTCCGGATTGTGAGAGGGCACAGGCCAGGCCAAGGGACCCCACTGGTGTCTGATCGGGGCCGGGGAGAGACATGGGAGGTTGGCCAGCCAGGGAGGGACCACAGGAGGGCTCCAGAGTGTGTCTGGCCCATTTCACTCAGTCCCAATCGGCTGGACCCCAGCAGCAAGCTAACCTACCGGTTGGAATGTCTACCCCCTGGTGATCATAGTGAGCAGTTGAGTGGCCTTAGCATATCATTAGCATATTACACTTTGATTGGTTGAACGGATGACTGGACGACTGGACACTTAGCATATTAGGCTTTTATTATATAGGATAGGAAGTTCCAAAGAAATGTACAGAGAGGCCCATGTACCCTTTACCCTCCCTTAGTGTTGACATCTTGCATAACTAGAATACAATAACAAAACCAGAAAATCTACATTGGTACCATCAGGAGAACTTATTCAGATTCCATCAGTTACACATACACTCACGTGTGTGTGTGTGTGTGTGTGTGTGTGTGTGTGTGCGTGTGTGTTGTGGTGGGGGTCAATGCAGTTGTTGTGTTTTTTTTTCAATGCAGTTTTGTCTCATGTAGCTTCATGTAGCCACCACCACAATCAAGATACAAAATTGTTCCATCACCACAGGTCTTTACTGTATTATTCCTTTTAGTCACATCTACCACCTATCCCTTTCGCAATCCCTGAGCTGTTCTCTGTCTCTATAATTTTGTTATTTCAAGAATGTTATATACATGGAATCATATACATGACCTTGGGAAACCAGCTTACTGACGCCCGCCATGGTCAAAGTGAATGCTGCTGCTGCGATCTTGGTCCAAGCGTTTTAGCTCTTCCTCCAGTGAAGCTGGGAGGAGCCACCTTTTCATTCCTATGTCAGTGATCGCCGGAAGTCTGGTCACAGCACATAACAAGTGTCTAAACCATTGTCCACAATCCCGAAAAGTTGATGGCCGAAGGCTAATATCCAGCTCCGTTAACTCTCTGAGGAGCCACACGTTTTGGCAGAAGATGGCCCATCCTGCATCGCAGATGCTGTCATTATAGCTCAGGTCGAGCTTCCGCAGCCTGGCCAGATGACCTGTGTGTATTACCGATGCTGAAAAACAAAATCACTCTAATTGCCAAAATACAAGAATACTTTCTGTCATGGATGTTTCCCACTTCCAATAACACAACGCGGTAGTTCCAGACCGGTAATGACAAGATTGATCATTAGTAATGCTTTGTTGCTAGCTAGCTATTTTATTTAGGGCATCTGAAATTACTTTAGTAACAAATTTCCTCTCTGTGCATTCCAAGTACAACTTGAAAATGGATTTTTTTTTCTCTTTCCACATCCCTACCCAAAAAAATATTTTTTTTGGTCAAATTCCTGCTCTTTACTTCACGGGGGTCCCAGCTCTTCCTGCAGACTTTCTCTAATTAAATGTGAGGAATGATGGGTCATTGGCGTGAACAGAAGACTATTAGTAAATAATCTTCTTGCTGTTTAATACTATTTAGTTGTTCATTTCTCATTCATTCTGCAGTCAACAATGATTTAACTGAGCACTTTCCATGTGCAAAATATACCTGGATAATTTCTAATCCAACTGAGAGATGTCTAATCACAGAACAATTTTGTCTTTGAATAGCACATGTCACAGTACTACCTACAAGGGCACTTAATATATAATAATGATGAAGCTAAGAGAAGATAACGACTTCTGTAAGAAAAGGTAAGGGAGCCCTAACCGGTTTGGCTCAGTGGATAGAGTGTTGGCCTGTGGACTGAAGGGTCCCAGGTTCGATTCCGGTCAAGGGCATGTACCTTGGTTGCGGGCACATCCCGAGTAGGGGGTGTGCAGGAGGCAGCTGATCGATGTTTCTGTCTTATCGATGTTTCTAACTCTCTATCCTTCTCCCTTCCTCTCTGTAAAAAATCAATAAAATATATTTAATAAAAAAAAAAGAAGAAAGAAAAGGTAGGGGAGACACCCAAGGCTAATAGTACATGCTTTTCTTTTTAGTCCAAAGTTGAAATGGATTATAGAGATGAGATGAGTGGTGTAAAATCTCGGAGTGACAAGGGACCTGGGGGTCTCCTCGAGGATTCAACCTCCAGATCAATGATCAGGGAAGGCTCCCTTTCACAGCTTCTCCATGGTGACCAGCCCGGGTCTGCCTGCAGCACCCATACAGGTCGCCCCAAGAGGGTGAGGCAGCTCTCAGCAGGAGGATGCCCTTCCTTTGGGACCCTCATCTACCTCCTGGGGATTCCTCCATTGCCCGCCGTGGCCGGCCTGAACCCCAGCTCCTTCCTTGTGTTAGCCCTGCTGTGTTGGACAACAGTCAGGTCCCTCAAATGTTCTTCCTTTAGGACTAAACATGCCTTGGTTTTTCCATCATTTCTTTTTTTTAATATATTTTATTGATTTTTTACAGAGAGGAAGGGAGAGGGATATATAGAGAGAAGCATCGATGAGAGAGAAACATCGATCAGCTGCCTCCTGCACACCCCCTCATGGGGATGTGCCCACAACCAAGGTACATGCCCTTGACCGGAATCGAACCTGGGACCCTTCAGTCTGCAGGCTGACGCTCTATCCACTGAGCCAAACTGGTTAGGGCTCCATCATTTCTTATACGTTATGGCTTCCAGACCTAGCCGGATGCTCCACGCCCATTACTTTCATTTGCAACAAGCTTGATTCCAGAGTGCCCTTGAGAGTTTAGCAGTCCATACACTCACCAGTGCCCTCACTCCCTAGATGTCCATGTGTGTCCTTTCTTTCTGCCTTCCAGCCTGTCACTCAGCATATTCTCAAAGCCTAAGTAAGTGTTAAAGACAATGTGCATGCTTTTTCTCTCCAGAATATTTTCTATTATGGAAAATTTTTTAAAACGTACAAAAAGTTGACAGGAGAGTGAACCCCTGCCCCCATCATTCAGCCTGAACAGTTATGTTCATTACACCTAACTTGCCCCATCTAGTCCCTTACTTCAGCTGGCAACAGTCTAGAGATGTCTATCCATGAGAAATGATACCTGCATTTCAGTTATGATGATCAGTTTCCTGTTTAAATTTAAGTTAAAGAGTCAACATAAAGAAAAAAATCAAGTAATAGCGCAGGTGCCATGTGACTAGGGCAAAATTTGTAAAGGCGGAATGTGGATGACTCGAGTTCGGTCAACACGGAGTTGGTTAAGAACACCAAGGCGCTCGTGTGTGGCGAGATGTGGAGCTGGTCCCCTGGCAGGGACCTCCCACCACCACCTCTGTGTCTATCTTCTTTTAGGAAACACCCTCCTGAGTTCCCAGTTCATCAGATGCCAAATAATAAATTTCCCTCCACTGTCCTTTTGGGTTTCGAATCTCCCTTATTTGTTTCAAACAGATCACTCCCGAGCAGGTGTCAGGAGAAGGGAAGCTGCAAAGAGGGCCCCAGGCCTCGCTGCCTTCGGCGCCTCCCTCCCCCTGCACTTGCTGGGCGGGTACGTTGGGCTCTGCCCGCCAGGAACCCAGAGATACAAACCCAGGAGAGCCACGTCCTCTGTCACCAGGGAACAGCTGCTCAGCCTCAGCACTTGGAGGGACGTGGAAAGCTTCAGTGTTTCCAGAAGCAGCTTCAGGTTGCCACCAACACACTTGTTCCAAGAAAGGCTGAGTACTTCCAGGGCAGGGAGGTGGATGGAGGCTTCAGCTAGATAAGAGCAATGATTTAGGTCATAAGCCTTCACTTTGAGCAGGGGTCCTCAAACTACGGCCCGCGGGCCACATGCAAATACAAATATTGTATTTGTTCCCGTTTTGTTTTTTTACTTCAAAATAAGATATGTGCAGTGTGCATAGGAATTTGTTCATAGTTTTTTTTTTTAAACTATAGTCTGGCCCTCCAACGGTCTGAGGGACAGTGAACTGGCCCTTTGTTTAAAAAGTTTGAGGACCCCTGACTTTGAGGAACCGAGGCCAGGGCAACATATGAACATCACTGAGGTTCAGAAAGTTGTAGAGATTGCTCACTCCTGCCTGAAACTCATGGCCTCGCTTTATGTTGTCTATTTTTATTGGGGAGAAATGTTGGAAACTGTAGTAAAGTAAAACTTAATTAAATGGAATTCACTATGACCTAGAATTTCCTTCTCATTGAAGAAGAAGAAATGGCCCTGGCTGGTGTGGCTCAGTGGTAGAGCATTGGTCCATGTACCGACTCCCAGTCAAGGGCATGCCAGGGTTGCAGGTTTGTTCACAGGCCCCAGATGGCTGAGTGCGGGAGGCAACCAATCAATGTCTCTCTCTCACATTGGTGTTTCGCTCTCTCTCTCCTCCTTTCTCCCGTTCACTCTCTCTAAAAATTAATGGAAAAAAATATCCTTGTATGAGGATTGACAACAACAAAAAAGATGAAGAAAGAGGCAGAGAGGTAGGCTCACAGGCTGGTCAAGATTTCCAGAGTGTGCGCTGGGCTTACATATCCCACCGACTATGCAGTCACAGCTGAAATCCTGAGACAGGGCCAAACCTCCCTAGGACTCCTCAACTCCAAAATGAATTTGTACTTGCTTAACTGTAGTTACAGAGACAAAGAAGGGAAGTGATGTATTAGGAAAGATTTTTAAAGGAAATTAAAAGAATTTTCTGCTTAATTCTCAATTTTCCCTAACATTAAAATCAGCCAGAACAACTAATTTTTAAGGTAAGTCGTTAATTATACTTTAAACTTCTTTCCTTCTGCCTTCTTTCTAAAAAGTAAAATATATTCAGGGGGAAAATATACATTCTTCTATAATATAAAATAAGAAAACCCCTCCCAGTCATATGGTACAGAGACCTTTCAATAAGAAATGGAACTTTTTTCTTCTAAAAGTGATGCAGAGAAATATATACTACTTGATTTACTTCTTAACTCAGATTGAATGATAGATTTATGTTAGATGCGATAGTTTAGTGTAGTATCTACTTGATTATGATCCATTGATTTTGTAGCTATAATTAGAAAGAGCTGTGTCTTCTACAGAAGACACAAAATCAAAAATATATATATAAAAAATTCAACAAATTTTGAATCTGAAGTATGAAACATCATGTTGTACCAAAATTTATTTTTTGTAGAACTTCTCTAAGTGAACATTGGTCTGAACAGTGAAATGTGGTGTGTGTGCATGCACATGTGTCTTATCTAACCATTGGGGCAATTATGGAGCCCTTAAATTTGTCTGTCTGTCTATCTACTTACTTAATATGTAGAAATGTCTAAAATGTGCTTTGGGTATGCAGTGAAGAACAAACACAAATCTTGCCCTCAAGGTTAAAATCTGGGAGAAATGTGGACATTAAAAAACCAAACAAATAAATACATAATGATTAATTCTGATAAATCCACAAAGAAGATTCAGGGGCTTCTAATGTAGATAGGGTGGGGCTGTCTTAGAAGGGGATGTTTCCATGGACACCTGAAATCAGAGCTCCCCAGACAAGAATGCGGGGGGGGGGGGTAGGCAATTCCAGGGAACAGGGAGGCCTGGACAGTCAGCGAGGCTCAGAGGCTAGTCATTGCTTTCCTTTCCCCATCAGACAGCACTCCCAGTTTATACTGGCGCCTCACTGAAATGGCAAGTTACTGTGGACATGGACCTCCAGAGTTGGTTCTATAGACTTTAAATGTTAACGGTTAAATGTGCAAATGCCAGAGTCATTCATGTGCTTTTAAGAAAGGTCACTTCTTTCTTAAAGGTCACTTTTAAGAAAGTATAGTTCCTGAGAAGAAGATACATTAGCATGTCACACCTTTGCTTATGGCTGAGTCTTGGAATAATGAAATTCATGCATAGGGAAAGGGATCCCCT